AACGCTTTTTGAAATAATGTTATAGCACTGTATCTTAACGCTTTTTAAAATAATGTTATAGCACTGTATCTTAACGCTTTTTGAAGCACCAATTTTTGATTAACGCCTTTTGATGCAGTGTTGTAGCATTTTCTTCATATAAACTCGTTTTGCTCTTTCATCATTCGCTATATATGAGAACAATATGACTATTCAGATATGATTGTGCGTGTCGCTACAGGTGCAAGCCGTGGGGCTAAGGATACCATATTTATCAGCGATATATGTGTATTGACCAATATCCATCATTCTAAAGAAAATGATAAATGGTGTATTCGACGTTTCTTATTATATTTACACGCACTTTATAGATCGTTAATGTCCCTGTTCTGGTGTTCATACACAAGAATACAATAGAAAGTAGTGTACTGAACGTTCCTAGTTTTATTTTATGGAGATTGTTAAACGTTGGAATACCAAAGGAAGGATATTCTTATACAAAGATTGTTAAACAATGGAGAACCAAAGAACAGATATTGGTATAATGACATTGTTAAACGATGGAGAACCAGAGGAAAGACATTCGTGTAATGACATTGTTAAACGATGGAGAACCAGAGGAAAGACATTCGTGTAATGACATTGTTAAACGATGGAGAACCAGAGGAAAGACATTCGTGTAATGACTTTGTTAAACGATGGAGAACCAGAGGAAAGACATTCGTGTAATGACATTGTTAAACGATGGAGAACCAGAGGAAATACATTCGTGTAATGCACATTGTTAAACGATGGAGAACCAAAGGGTACGACTTCTTGTTTTCCGTGGAATACCTTGTTTAACAGAACCTTCATCCAGAACATAGAGGTTGTTGTTGCCAACCCAAAAAACCATTGCTAGAAATCTCGGCATATCTCCTGGTGCTGTAAATAATCTTCAGTGTCTTGTATTTCACCAGCTATACTGTTATTTCTACTGAGTCGAAATTGTATAAATAATATATCGTAAATATAAATTTGATATTAAAAAATGACAATAAAAATTTGGAATTTTTCATTTATTGTGTAGTCGTTTTACGGTCTACCAGAATGTTAATTTTTTTTTATGCGACAAGAACAAAGTCATCTTGCTCAATCCTGTTCTATAAAGTTTGAAAATGATCAGCACAACGTGCACTTACGTCTTCAACCTTGAAATGTATTTTTGTGGTAGAGCCTGTTTAGTTAACGTGAATGTTTTAAAAGTCAGCATTTGATGGCATCTCCTCGACTTGTGTCCTAACCTTTCAATGACTTTACAGGTTTCTTACTATTGATTAGTCGTTAGAAGAAATACAAACTTCTGTGCATGATAAAACTGGTTGGTGAATACATAATATAGTGAGTTGTTAGTTCAGGGTTGGCATTGCAAGGCAGTAGCCATCATGGAGCTGTAAAATTTTTGTTGTTGATGTTGTAATACATTATTTGCTTCTCGGCGTATTTTAATGCACTGGTACTTTGGTACTTTACCAAGATAAAACAAGTTTACATTACCCTGTCTGTTTCTTGCTTCGTGACTCTGTACTTTGGCTAGATTCGATCTGAAAATCTCTTGAGTGGTAGCGTGTAAGGAGTTTCAATTTGTTAAAAGGTTCAAACCGGCTACTTTGTCCATCAGATGATTCCTGTAGTTCTGGTTTCTCGAGAAATCATAACGTCGACTAGTTACATTCTGTATTTGTCTTTAGTAATTGTTTTTTACGTCACAAAAAAAATCATTGTTATATGATATAGAAACAGGAAATTAATGTCTATTAAAAGGAGGTTTAAGTTACGTAGTTTACGACTACATTGTTATAGACCAGAAGTTGAAGTTACGAACTTCTTGTACACGGTGTATTATTCTAGACTCCTGGACACAACTAAAAAAATTTGGAAAATATAATACCTATATATTAATAATATATTTCCAATATAATATGTTTATGAACTTTACTTGATAATGTATTCCACGTAATTTAAAAGCTAAAAAAATTTGGAAGTTTTCTTTACAAAAAAAAAGTGTCAACTGTAAATATGTTTCATCCGATATAATTCTAAAAACGGTGTAAATTATGTTATGAAGAGATTATATGACGTAGCACCCCGCTTACCTTCATGCTTATAAGGTCCCGCCCTTCTGTGAAGGAGTGTTTTTTTCACGTTGTGACGTACGCTTAAAAAAAAAAGGCCCAGAAATGTGTATACATATAACTATGAAATACAAGACAGTTCTAGAAGCTAAGCCTAATTGTTTTAGATCTACCAGTGTATCTACTGCTAACCAAAACGACACTGCACTTTAAAACTTACTAAGTAGAAATAAATTGTGCTTCCTCAGTTTACCTAACGATTTCTGTTTGTACTTCTTAATTTAACATTGATTATTTCCCTAATAACGTCTGTCTGTTCATGTGTGGTGAACAATAAATATAATATTTTGTAACTTATCCTTACTCTAAAAGTCTGACGTACCAAGTATTTGGGAAAATCTGATGATACATTTTTAAAATATAAATCTTAATAAATAAAGGATTGTAGATAGAATCATAATATACGTGAAATTAAACCTTTTTTTAACCCGTTAATATTGAGAAAAAAGAAAGGAAGTTTTGTGATAAGGTGTCAAGTAACTGTACCGATTTAGAAATTCAAATTGGGTCATCTACTGCCAAAACATATGTGGTTCGGACTGTAAATTGAGTGCCAGTAATTTTTAAAGCGTTTCAGTAATAATAGTTTTGTAGTCCCGGCTATGAACTTAAACAAATGTGTGGGCGGCTGCTATGATAAATGACACAAAAATCCTAACTTTTACACAATTTATTTATAACATAACATATTATTACAGTATTCAATATTACCTCACCAAAAGTTTTGTATGAGCTTTAAGAACTCAATATGTATATACATGTACTTACAATGTGGTATACACTGTGAGATGGTCAGGGTGACTTTGTATTAAGAGATAGCAGAAAAAAGTAGTGGCAGTAGGGATGCTTTCTGTTACCCGCTTTCACCACCCAGCTCTTAATGTCCTTCCACAGTTTTTTACGCGATTAATTAATTGGCGGTCATTGGCCATAGAAGTGTCTTGTGAGCCGAAGTTGAAACGACACGGGTCAAAGTAGGAAGTGGACATAACTCAAGAAACGGCTCTTCATATCAGCGTTATTGTGGCTGATGGAGAAGAAACTTCAGCTGAGTTTATATATTATTGCAATAGTGACGGTAATTTTTTTCCCATTACATTCTTCCATAGAGAGTGCTAAAGATATATAAGACATTTGTATGCCCCCCCCCCCCACCACACACACTGTGTACGTTGTGTTATACAAAATTGAATAGCGTTTTTTGGTGTAATGACGTGGCGCCATCTATGAATATAGTTAACGTTAACTTGTGTCAAAGATGATAATACTCAATAATGGCAATAATGAGGGGTGAAGGGGTTGTAAGCTGTTAATTAATATGTCCCTTGTTTCAAACTATCATCCTACAAAGTTTGGTTAAGATTGGCCTAGCGACCTAGGAGTAGTTATATAACAGACAGACAGAGAGACAGATTTTTGTGCTTTATATATGTACAGATAATGATAAAGAATAAAGCAAAAAAAGTAAGAGCACAAATACAAGTTTAAAAAAAAACGGGAATGGAAAAAAAAAACGTAAATTTTAAACATTTTTTGCAACAAGATTTAATAATAATGTTCCATGTATTAGCAAAGTTAAAACTGAAGTTTTGTTTGGGAGCAATGCTTTTTAGTTTTAGTACAAACTAATTCTTTTGATTATATTTGAAATGTTTTTTATCTTGTGTTATCTGCCCTCATTTTCTCTTCTTGCCTTTTCATAACTAAACATTTTTTTTTCTTTGCTGCTATTGTACAAAATATTGATTTATATTGATAAAGCTAGCAGCGAATAATAATAATAATAATAATAATAATAACGCTTTTTTTCCTCAATAAAGCTGTGTATTATTTTTATATATGGCCTAATGAGCTTTAAAGAGGTCAAGTAGGTCATTAGCAGGTGTAGTTTTGGATGAGATTTGTTAGCTCAGCAGTTGTTTTATGTCAGTTGAGTAAACACAAGGCACTTACACAGAAAGTGGGTTTTGCCATCTCTGACCTACATCTGTTTTACAGGAAAATATCCAGTGATTGCAGCTGTTCTGATTTTGATTAAATATTATGTTTCTGTGTGTTTTTAATGTTTTTATATATATATATATATATATACAATTACACTGCAGCTGTTTTTAAGACACATTGAAATTCAACCCTTTCCTTCATTCTCTCTCTTACTCTGTATTGTGCATTGTTAATTGTTTTACAGTTCTGAGTTCTAGGTGGAGTGGGGTGTGTATGTAAGAAAATAACTAGTTACATTAATCAGGTGGATACAGAGCTTTAGCAACAAATAAAAGAGTAATTAACAATATTTACTTAAAAGATTGATATAAACCATGTTTTACAAACACTTATGAATACTTTGATGCATATGTTTAGGCATGTCTGGTGTCAAAACAGGCTCTTTTTTTTGTCATGGTTTCATTGTGTTATGATAATAAGTACAAATAAGTTACTTTAATTTTTTTTTGTCCAATATAATAACGTTTGAAAATCTAGTACTCATTTTGTTGTTCAGAGGTTTAGGTAGTATCACTAATAATTGCAATACACCAAGTGTTTTACGTTGGTGACATATGTTTTCTTTTCTGAGATCTTTTGGAGTAGTTAAGTTAGAACTTAATGAACTTTGGCTTTCCAAATGTAGGAACATTTCAGATTACTAAAATGTTTCTTACACGTGCCAGATAGCTTATAAGGTAGGCACAACAGTAATGTTGCAACAACTAACCACCAGGCTTGAAATAATTAAAATGTTATCTTTTTAAACCAATTTTACATATGCTAGAAAGTATTTATCATTGTTTCTAAAGTGGCTTCTTTACAGAATTATCTGATATGAGGAGGAATTAATTTTTTTTCAAGAATTCGCCCTCAGGTTCCACGGGAGATCATTGACATGTGCCATGTTTGTACAACCGTGGCTTCCGGAGAACCTCAGGTTTGGCTTGGAAAGGACAAGGCTTTTACCTTTGATCATGTTTTTGACATGCCAAGTTTACAGGAAGAAGTATATTACACTTGTATAAAGGATCTTATAGAAGGGTGAGTAAGACATACAGGACACTCGTACAGAGAATCAAATGAGTTTCATTTAGAAAGTACATTATTTCATTGTTTATTCATAAACTTACTTCCATTTGTCAATAATGAATTCCAGGATACTAAAGTTCAGAACATGATATTAGTATTAACTTCTGATCAAAGAAAGTTGCCCACATAGACCCCAACTAAAGATTAACCTAATGAATATAACTTACTTTTATTATAAGAATGCATTGTTTCTTGAATCAAGTACCCATATTGTTAGTGATATTTTCAACAGTAATCCCAATAATATCTTCTGAGGTTTGGACAGGTTAGGAGATTTTGGTTAGTCCCAAATTCAGATACTAAACTAACCATGCAAAGTAATACTTATAGTAAAAATATATAAAGAAAAAGAGAAATAATAAAAAGTAGTTATATATTAAACACATTACCAACATAACATTAAAGAGAAGGTAGAGCATAACTTACATACAGAATACATAAAACTAGGCATTTATTTCCTGCCCATTGAAAAAATTCACATCAGCATAAACAGATCAATGTCTAGAATACTTGTGTAACAAATTTATTTGACTGGATTGCTTTCTAATATTATGTTATATTAAGTAAGGTTATTTGTTTTTGTTCCATAACCAGATGACCTGCTTTTGTTTACATTTTTTTATATCTTATACTAAACAGTATGTAGCTAGTAAGTTCATAAAGTGGCTTGTGTTCTTTCACAGTAAACAAGTCTGTAACACATTTTATATTCTTCCAGATGCTTTGATGGGTATAATGCAACTGTCTTTGCCTATGGCCAGGTAAGCACTGCTAGAATAGCCAGTATATCTATATATATATATTTAACAGTTGTATTAAACAAGTTAGAGAGTACAGCCAGCATATTTATATACAAACAATGTACAAGGCCTTCATTAGACTTTTAATAGAATATGGCTGCATAACCACATGTTCCATGTCCAAGTCTGTCTTCTAAAAACTAAAAGAATTTCAAGATGAAACTGTACAAAATTACATATTGTTTGCTGTTATATTCTCCATTCAAACTTAATAATTAATGATTGAGCATTATATTTTCATATTCACATTGCACTATACATATATGAATGAGCAAGTAAACAATCAAATATAATAATACCAATGGGGTTTTTGAGTCCATTTTAACCAAAAATGTAGTAACCTAAGTTAATTTAGGTGTTTGAATAATATTATGGCATTTTGCCTAATTTATTATTTGATATTATACAGTGAACCAACTGTTTAATGATTATTTTATAGGTACATTTTCACCAAAAGTAAAATAGAAAATACAGTCTATATGGTGAATTAAAAAAGACTCAAACTTGTGTCATTTATACATCATCGTTATAAGAGGCATAACTGTATTTCTTTGGTTTGCTGACCCAAGCTGTGCTGATGAGCCTTGAATAGGTAAAACTGCATTCCGTAGCAGAGGATGTGGTGAATCAAAGAATGAATTAGGTCTCTATATCAGCATAAACCACTTATTATATGGCAAAACTATTAATGTCAATACCATCACTTCTTGATCATTTGATTTCTTTTTAAACCTTATGATATACATTCATTATCAGGTTCATCTTATTACCTCCTGTTTGAATTTGTGTTGTGGGTGAAAAAGAACCCAGAAGGGTTTCTGAGTACCTGAGGGTGTATCCCGAATATATAAACTTCTGTTACTAACTGTTTAAATAGTGTTGGAATAGAACGATGCAGCAACAGGATTGGTGACATTATATACTGCTGTTAATTTAGTGTAAAGCTAAATATCTGTTTGTGGGTGTGAACTAATATATATATATATATATATATTGCTTCTTTGTATGATTACTATTTTATTTTTAATGAAGGGAGATGAGCAATAAAATATATATTTTGATTGTAACTACATATTTGTAAGTGTGATACTTTTGTAATGTCAGTGAGTGTTCTGTTATTGATACATCTTTTGCTTTAGACTAGTTCTGGTAAAACGTATACCATGGGCACTGGCTTCAATCTTAGCCTTAATGCTGAGGAGAGAGGAATTATACCACGAGCTGTGGAACACTTGTTTATAGGAATCCATGAACGGCAGAGACAAGCACGTGAAAAGGGAGAGCCACCACCAGAGTTTAAAGTGAATGCTCAGTTTATGGAGGTATGTGTTCAACTGTAGATGGAGCTGTTTCTTTTATATGTAAATATATCTTGCTGAAATGTCATTTCTCTTAATAGAAGTGGAATGTATTGTATAGAATTTGTTAATATTTAAACATTGGTAATTGTTAAAAGCTGTTCAGTTCTAAGAATCATGAGTGAAAGCAAAGGAGAATGTTATAATATGTCAACCACACCACATCTTCCATATTCAGTGCCAATGAGGCCTTTCACACAATATCGGGGCTCCTCGGGCTGTCTGGAGTACGACAGACATGGTGGTCTAGGTGATGTCAACCACACAACATTTGCTGTATCTTGTGCCAATGAGGCCTTTCACCCGATAGTATGACTCATCAGGCTGGCTAGGATACAACAGACATGTTGCAAATTGTACACTATATAATAATAAAAAAGGAATAAATAAAGTTATTATATATAGTTCTAGTTCTGTAATAAATGTTCTTCTTTAACAGAAACAAACATTTACCTGAGCTCTTATTTGACCAAGAAATATTAAGTTTTTCTAAAGCCATGCATTTTTAGCAGTTTAAGATTCTTTCAAAGCTTTGCCTTCACGTAGGATCAATAATTCCTAAAATTCTACTTTTACCTAGAAATGTTTTAATCTAAAAATGCAACATTTTGGAAAGGTGTGCTCTATCCTAGCAACATTTAAAAGTACTCTCTCAGCAATGTTTTTTAAGGTGCTTTCTCCAGAAACTACGTTGTATATGTTTTGTCTACAATACTTTTGAAAGGTATAAATTCAAGTGGCATGGTTAAATATCATATTAAAGCTTTAGTTTATTTTCTAGTTCTGTTTGAAAACTTGACAAAAAATTATGTGTGTGTTTTTTTTGTTTTTCAAACACTTATTCCTATGAAGTTGTATTTTCATCTAACAACACTTAAAATTTTCGTAAATTCAAGTTAGCTGGAAAGATTTTAAGTCAAAAATCTGTGTCAAAAGTTCATGATGTTTTCTAACTAAAATGAACATCTGTGTAGCACTGACTTGCTGTCATAAACCATTTATATTCTTTTAACTTGTTGATGTTCTACTTGCTGTAGCTGTATAATGAGGAAATCATTGACTTATTGGATCCAGCAAAAGAAGCAGAAGAAAGAGTAAGTTGGTGTTCAAGTATATTTAACATTTGAAAACGTGAAATTCAAGAATTTTTGCCAGATTAATTTGTAATATGATTATAAAGTTCTGTAAAAAAAAATTATTTACAGGATTAAAAATGTATTAACTTTGAATGAGAGCTGGAATTCTTAAGAAAAGTACATATGAATTTATTTTGTTTAGTGAAACATAAATTAGTGATTTCTTCCTTTATTTGCAGTAACCATCTTTTAATATAAGTATGACTTGTCATTGAAGAAAATCATTTTAAATGTGACACTTGTATAATGTAAGAAAAGTTTGAGGGTAAGGGACATGTAACTTTATAGTTTAACTTTTATGTTTTCTTTGGTAATAACATATTCAAGAATTTATTTGGTTGGTTACTGAATTAAAGAAATGGTCATATAATGTTACACTTATGTGAAATTATAAGCATTTTCTTTTTGATGTAGGTAAAGAAGTCTCAGATCAAAATACATGAAGATTCTAAAGGAGATATTTACACGGTTGGAGTCACTACTCGTAATGCTTCCTCTCCAGAGGAGGTGTGTAAAATGTTATTGTGGTATTATTTTAAATTTATTCTGAGTCATTTATGTTTGTACCAGAAGCAAGATGTGTGTAAAATTTTTTATGTTATTGTTCTGAAACATATTCTTAATATTTTTATAATTATTTTTATTCTATCTTTGAAGTAATAACAGACAAGACTACATGTAAGCTTTTTAAAAAAATGAATGAAAATAAAATTTAGTTATAAAATGGTTTATTTATAATTTAGAGACTAACATTTTCTCCAAAAACATAATATATATTAATAAACTATTAACTATTTTTTTAGACTCTGCAATGTTTGAAAAATGGAGCCTTATCCAGAACCACAGCAAGCACAAATATGAATGCTCAATCATCCCGCTCACATGCAATTTTTACACTACACATTAAACAGCAACGAGTGGTCTTTATGGAGGTAGGTGCCAATATGTTTTGAAGAATTTTTAGTTTTATGTTATCTCAGAAAAATAATCCACCACAACAAACAAAAAATAAACAAACTCATATTACTATGGTACTTAAAATATATTGTTGTTGTGGTTTTTCCTGTTGGATGGGTTTTTTGGGCTATTCAGTAGAAAAAAGAATGTAAAGTCTGTCAACTTAATGAAAATGACAGTTTTTTCATTCTCACTTATAAGTTTTGCAAGATAACTAATGTTCTCTGATATGCCTAAGTTTACAATAGAAACTACTATAGTGACATCACTTACTAATTTCCTGTGGTTTACACAACATATGGCATATCTGTTGTTACTTCATTGAGAACACAAACTTAATATTCAAAACTAAACTGTCTAACACACTCAATCAAATAATAGTTCAATAGTTGATTCAATGTAACTTACTAGAAGACTCTGATATTACTAATCACATACTCCAGAGTAACTCGTGTTTTATACAGTTCTCAACTTTGAAATAAATTCCAGATGTTAAGCCACCTGCTTACCATTTGGTGTCTAACTTCCCTCTGGCTAAACAACAATACCAATATCTAAATGAAAAATACTTAGCTTACAATAATATGTAGATAATAATCAGGTTACTTTTTAAGTTTCAGTGCCAGATACTATCGAAAAACATGTTAAATAAGGCATGAAATTTTACTTTCAATGTGATCAATTTATTTATAAGTGAATTGTAATGGAACATTAAGAGCTGTTTTTAAGGTTAACTACAAAACATTTTAGGTATTTAGAAACAGGTTTTATTGTTTGCAATATTATTTAGTCATGGCCTTAAGGTACTTCTGTTTATTTTAATTTTTTGTACAAAAATGTATGATCTAGTGGTCTTTTTTTTATTAGTGCCTCTAAGAGCATTTCACAAACTCTGTAGCCCCCCAGTGGCACAGCGGTATGTCTGCGGACTTACAACGCTAGAATCCGGGTTTCGATACCCGTGGTGGGCAGAGCACAGATAGCCCATTGTGTAGCTTTGTGCTTAATTACAAATAAACAAACACAAACTCTGTAAATACCTTATGACTAGGTTTTAATATGAAGGTCATAAAATTATCTGAAATTATAAAACTTTAAAAAAAAACTAATTGTGATAAATTAGAAATTTAGGAAAACTTAAAAGACATCATAATATTTGATATGATGATGAGTAAACTGGAATGGATGGCAACTGACTGTTGTAAAAACACAAATGTAGAGGACAAAGTTTTGTACGTAGGGGAGGTAAACGGTAGTAGTAGAAGTGTTCTTCTTATTTTTCTTTCTGTTGTGGTCTTCTTCAGAGCGTTTTTGATAAAGGTAGAGATGTAACCATTCTATTTAAAATACACTTTGATCTTTTGGTGTTCTATATCCATCAATCAAAATTTCATTGAAAAACTCAAATGCATAGCCAAGAAGTTCAACATAGATGTTCGGTAGAAATCTTACAAGACAATAAGATCCATTATAATGAAAACCAAACACAAACCTACTAATGAAAAGCACAAAAATGTCATCTATGAAATTCCATATTCCTGCAATGAAAAATACGTTGGAGAAAAGGGAAGAAGACTCGGGACGTGAATAAAAGAACACAAAGACAACACAAGACTCATGAAAATACAAAATTCAGCCATTGCAGAACACACCATGTCAACTGGACACAAAATAAATTGGGCTAAACTCACTCACACTGACCTGAAGACGAAATAATTTTGAAACATCTTCCATTCCAGTTTACTCATCATGAATACTCTGCCTAAACAATCTATCATTTGAAATTGTGTTATTATCAGTAGACTAATGTGGCATCATGAACTGAAATGATCCACTAAACACACATGATGTCACATTAATCCAATGATGCAACATTGTTTCCAGCATTTTAATTTAATTTTTTGTAATAGTAAGGTGTTATTGAGGATATTCTAATGAGATATTGTAAGGTAACCAATAATATTGAAGAGATGCTAGTTGCATTTGATTGTGGAAAAATTAGCAGAGGATAATAAAATAAGAAGGAAACAAATTAAACAGATTTTGTGTAAAATGTTACTAGTTTTTTCTAGGTATTGAGTTAAAAATTTCAATAAAAGTATTAATTAAATAATGAAGAATATTTGTATTGATCAAGGTGTCTTGTATTGATCAGGTACTTAACTTGTGTATTGATCATGGTACTTAACTTGTGTATTGATCATGGTACTTAACCTGTGTATTGATCAGGTACTTAACTTGTGTATTGATCACGGTACTTAACTTGTGTATTGATCACGGTACTTAACTTGTGTATTGATCACGGTACTTAACTTGTGTATTGATCACGGTACTTAACTTGTGTATTGATCACGGTACTTAACTTGTGTATTGATCACGGTACTTAACTTGTGTATTGATCAGGTACTTAACTTGTGTATTGATCAGGTACTTAACTTGTGTATTGATCACGGTACTTAACTTGTGTATTGATCACGGTACTTAACTTGTGTATTGATCACAGTACTTAACTTGTGCACTGATGACTGTAGTGAATAACTCTTGGTTTTTGTGTACTGTTAATAGTAATACTTAATTTGTGATTTCCATTTTCTTCTAGCCTCCTGAATCTAATATCTCTGATGAAAATCTTGATAAACCAGCTCCTACTCAGAATGGGGAAGTATTGAATGAGTTTGAAACACTGACTGCTAAGTTTCACTTTGTGGATCTTGCGGGCTCTGAGAGGCTTAAGAGAACTGGAGCAACTGGTGATAGGGCCAAAGAAGGAATATCGATAAACTGTGGGCTTTTGGCTCTTGGAAATGTCATTTCAGCATTAGGAGACAAGTCACGTAAAGTCACTCACGTTCCTTACAGAGATTCAAAACTTACAAGGTTACTTCAGGATTCCTTAGGAGGGAACAGGTAAAAAGTAACACAGAGAGGGCAACATCTTGTACGTCTTCTTTTCATAATTCCTTGTAACAATAGGATAGATTAATAATTCATTGTCAAGGTTGTGACAGCAAGTGTTACATATAAGATATAAGTTGTCAATTTGCAACACCAAGGATCTATGTTGTATGATATAATACTTACTTAACAAAGCCAACTTTGTCTTAGATATAGAAAAATATTCAATGTGAAGAAGAAATTGGGATGTTGCCTCAGTATGATAAACAGAGAAATAATGATTTATTATTTTAGGATTACATTGGTTGATTAAATTCTAATTAAGTATTATGAAAAACATTTAACATTATAAGAATGGGAAGTTCAGAAGATTCTCCTTTACCTGAGTTTTAAGAATTTTTCCGATACAAAAACAACAACAATTTAAAATGTTATGATCCATTTGAACAATTCCACTGTTGTTTTTCTCAGCCACCAACATGGAGGCAGTCACTCTCAAGACCTCTGCTTTCTAGCTATAAATTTTCTCTATTGGGCCCATAACTACCAAATTCAGTTGGTCTGTCATGTCCCAGAGACTTTGAACGTGATAGCAGATTGGCTGTCTTGTTTTGCTTAGACTGGATCCTTCCTATGTAGTGGTCTTTGCATCTTCTTGTATTTCAGTGGATTTGTTTCTACTTTGGTAGTCCTCATCATCACCTTTGTGACTCCCCTCAATGCTGAACTTCCACTTTTCTAATCACCAGCCCTGGTTATAATTGGTGCCCTAAGTGAGAATTGGACTGATCTCTATCTTTATACCCATTCTCCTCTTGACTTATTTCCAGGATTTTCTCTTATCTGTGACATTCTATGCAGGGTTTTTCTTATTGCTTCTCTTTGGCTAGCTCACTCATGGTTTCCACTTATGTGCTTTTTGATATCTCAGGATCCTCTTCCGGCTTGAAGGTCCCTTTTATGTCAGCTTCAGGCATCTGCCTATCACCAAAATATGTTAAGCTTTCATATTCATGTGGATTTTGTGCAGTTTCTTGCAAGATAGGAAAATTTTCTCACAGGGTATTCTATTTTCTTGCTCCCTTTTTCAGACCTTTCACCCTTGCACTTTATCAACACAAGTGGATGGTTTATTGCCATTGGTCCATTTGTCACTCACTTCCTCTTTTCTCCAGGTTGTTTATCTCTCCCACTTTTCACTTCTTTTTTTATGGTTTTTTTCTCGATGATGGTTTATCCATTTTTTGGTCATCAATTACAAAACCGCTTTGTCAGAGACCTTATTTCTCTACCTCAGCCATTCCTTTTTTTCTTTCTCTAGTTCTTTTAGATCTCTTCTGAGCCTTTCTCATCTGTCAATCTCCCCAAGTTCTTCATCTGGACTGTAATCTCTATTTGGTTCTCCTGGGCTCTCATGTATTCCACATTCATATTTTTGGCCATCTGTTCCAGGTATCATCTTTCTCTAAAGACGTATTTTCTTCTTCTTGTTTGGGGAAGACGTGGCTCTGACATTTTTTCCTTGGACACTTCTTTAAAGGGATAGGTTAATTTTATTACTTGACTGCACCTTCCTTCCCAAGACTTGCGCTGCCTGGGAAAGTGATCAGATGTTTCCACCAATCACTCCTTCTTCCATTTTTTCTCTGTATGATGACTGCAATGCTTATAGTCTTCTTTGTCCTGTTTAGGCAGTTCTTGTTATTTTGTTAGTACTGCTCCAACATGAACCAGTTGATGTTTTTCTTTTGTCATGGGGGTCTTCTTCTTCTTTTGATTTATCCCCTTCCGCTTTAACTTTCTATCTACCTATCTGGCTTATTTATTCTTCTATGGGAAAGGACACCTTTTGCCTTTTCTATGTCACTTCCCATCAAGTTTGTCATCTCACAGCATCTCTTGTCTTTCCTGTGGATGACCCTTGATACATTTGTGTTCAATTATTTACATCATATTGCAATTTTATCTATCTCTGGGTTTTGTCATCTTTCAATTTCCCTTCTCCAATCTTCCCATAGACTATTGAGAGGAACTGTAGGTTATTATTCTTTGTTGTTGTTGTTTTTCAACTCTTTTAATCACTATTATTACATCTTGTTGCTTTTATGCTGGAGATGATTCAACTCATCATGTCACTGGTGAATATTTGCAGGGAATACCTCTCTCTCTCCCAAAATCCACATTACATGGGAGATAACAGAAATTATTAAATCCATTTGCTTCTACTAAGTGACCTCTATTGAGATAAGGTTTTCTGCAAGACTACTTGGCAACATATTTGTATATTTTTACCTTCCAGTCCATACTTTCCCCACCCCTTAAAAAAAAGATGAAAAACAAAACACTATCAGCAGCACTCACACCTGGATGGCACCTGCTGTCCCCACTCCTGGTCACCCATTGCACAGTAATGGAAGAACCCATTTCCAGTCACAAGCCACAGAAAAGGTTGGTATAGAGTGTTCTCCTTCTGGTTGGTGTAATCCCATTGATATGTGACTAAATATATGCACCCTTCAATCAGAAGTATGGCTGGGATATTACCTGGAAGTGTAGTACAGGGCATCCCAGTATACCTTGAACCAAGCCATACCAGGTGGATGGGTCTTGTGTCCTGCTCAAGCCCAGCCAACCACTTGAAAGATAATGAGCAATATTCCATTCTGCCCATCAGTGTAACACTTGTGCACCACACAGTATTCTTCACTTTACCACTTTTACTGGGATTTCCTGCATAAGAAGGATGTGGTCTACCTCCAAGTGATGATTCAACTAGGCTCCTCTCCCCCAGTGGGCAACATGCTCCATGGATATTCCATTTCTGACATTATGTTTCAGAAAATAGGTTGTTTTTTTTATTTCTAAATTTATATCAGCTCTTCCATCAGTTTCTCAGTGTGGTATTCTAGCTCTTTTGTTGTGTAGAGTAGTGAGTTTATTTCTATGAAGTTAACATTTTTCTTACCTAAAGATGCATTTTAGATAGATACTCATCTCTCTGCACTACCTCCCACCCTTCTTCCTCATTTCTGGTATGATTCTTTTACCTCATCAAGAATGAGCCTTTGTTCCATAGCTAATGCTCAAGGGGATTACTATGTATGGAGGATGCACTCTCATATTGGTGGAGAGTTGTGGTCTAATGATGAGTACATCATAGGCTGTCCCAGTACAAATTAATATTGGAACATGCACAGAAATCTTTAAGACAGTGACACAAGGTAACAGCTCTTTGTTGTGGATAGTCATCAATTAAGGAAAATGTTAGCTAATGGGGAAAAAAACACTCATAAGTATCTAGTGTTATTATTATAGTAAAGAAAATTCCATAATTTATCAAGTTTTTATTACTTCACTTAAAATCAAGTTAAGTGTAATATAAGTTACTTTTATGTTCTATTTTAGCCCATGTCATGAATTTCAGAAATTGTTCTTTCACTTTCACAGCCGAACTTTGATGATAGCTTGTATTTCACCATCTGATCGAGATTTTATGGAAACACTAAACACATTGAAGTATGCCAACCGAGCAAAGAATATCAAGAACAGGGTAATGGTTAATCAGGATAAATCCAGTCAAACAATTTCCCTGCTCCGTCGTGAAATCCAGCAACTGCAGTTAGAGTTAATGGAATATAAACAGGTATTGACTGACTTGGAAATAGTTACATTAATCCTATTAATTAAAGACTTTTAATATAAAATTCTTACTCTTGAAGTACTGTAGTCTGAGTTTTCAGAGTTTCAATATTTTGTGTATTTTCTAAGGTGGGTCGTGTTTTTTTTTTCCTAGGGAAAGAGGCTTGTTGGAGAAGATGGAACAGAACAAATTAACGACATGTTCCACGAGAACACAATGTTACAAACTGAAAACAATAATCTTAGGACTCGTATTAAGGCATTACAGGAAACAGTAGAAAGACTGACTGTTAGAAACACGGAGCTGTTGGCAGAAAAAGAGGCCGGAACCTGGATAACCTCAGGTATGTTTCTTAGAATAGTTGTCACAAACATACAATTAAATAATTAGCTTGCTTGTATGAATCAAACCTATAATAATAATAATGATCAAATCTTATTGAAGGTGAAGAGGAAGTGCTTGTTATGTGTTTGACAATCTTTAGAAGAAAAGTGTATATTGTGATTTTAATACAAAAACCAATTTTATCTGAGCTGTGCACAAAAATTATATATACAATCAAATTAATGTGTCTTCAATCTTAATTTAATTACCATAATCACCCCTTTCAGGCATCCTTCAACCCCCCCCCACACACACACATTTTGGGAGCAGTTGCAAATCCTTGCCTTGTCCTAACTAATAGCTAATAGCCACTTGGTCTTTATAAACAAATGCCTATGTGTACCATATAGAAGTGCAAGCTACTGTTGATCATAGAATCAAAGACTTTCAAACCAAATCTTGCTGTTAATCATTTGGCCTTTAAAAAATAGCTATCTTTAAACCATTATGTGTATTTACCCCCACTGACCCACCCCGTAATATTGGCAAACACTTGATGTCTCTACTTAGTTATGAGATATATGTGCAGTAAGATACCAGTAAGAACTGTACTGTTGTATTTAGTTTTATTTACAGTTACTTATGTTAAGTTTTTTATTATGAATATTACACTTATGGTATTTGATAGTGCCAATTCAGTGAGTACAAAATTCAGTGACATTAGAATTAACCACCATTAAGATTATGTTTCGAGATACCTGTAATTTATATTCTTAACAATCAGGTATCTTGTTATGTATAAATATTACATCTAAGAAAGAATCTTAAGTTTTTATTTTAATAAATCAGAAACTGGTTTTACATCAGTCTTGATTCTAGGTGAGTGCTTTTAGTTTTGGTATGAACTAGTTTCTCAGAAGTACTTCATTATTCATGTTGAAAATACTTCTTAGGCTTGAAGTATGAGTTAATTGTCCATGACAGTATGTTAGAGAAAAGCATGCCAAGCAATTGAGAAATAAATCAAGGAAAAACACTTGGTAATGTATTAAATACAGTTTTATTTAGTGCAATAAGCATGTTTAATCATCATGGGAGGACTGTCTATCTATGCACTGGTATTAGTTGGTATAAAACAAGTGATGTAATAAGGATTTCCCAGGACTATATGATGCGATAAACACCCATCCCCCACACACCTAACTTCCAGTTGGTTCTGCTAAGTTTATAAGAACATAGGGTATTTAAGAGGCAAATAAAATATATCAAACTGTAAAAATTAATTTCATATATTGCTTGTGTAAAGCTTAATGTCCTTTGATTATTGTTTCAGGCAAAGACCCATCAGAATCGGATATTAAAGAAATGATACAGGGCTATCTCAAAGAGATAGAAGACCTGAGGTAAGTTGTACTTTTTTAATGTTATTTATTACTCGACCTTAAGTTATCCAGGATTTGTTTTTTTTTTTCATTTTAAGGAACTTTAATACATAAAATCATAGGTATGAACATGTGATATAAAACTAACTTGGCATGTTGACACTATACCCCCAAATGGTATTTATCAATGTCTACTTGTCATTTAGTCAAAAAAGCTTCACAAAGCTGTTTATTTTTTATTTTGTTAGTCATAGAAGTATATATATAGGCTAGGATGATTTTTACTGTGAATCATACAAGTATGCTTTTGTAGCTTGTAAATACAAGATATCTCACTCTCCATAGTATACATGTATTTCATATCACAACATTTTTGAATGTTCCTGGATCGTCCTGAGTCTTGTTGAGGTCACACACTCAACTCACATGCTTAATTCAGCCTGAGGTGTGACTTTCTGTAGACTTTCTAGTCAAGGAACTTATTACAGTTTAATTGAACTGTTGTGGGTTTAACATCAGAGATATTTCTGCATTCTAATGCCTGTTTTTCTGATTGGTTAGCTACAGAGTATTGAGTACTGTTTTCAAAGCTGATTCTTTCTGACCTATGATCTTTGTCTCACTGATGAATTCCAGTCTGTTGTTCTGCTACATATTTTCTGCCTGATGATCATTTTAACTTCCTTTTTTTAATTTTTTGTACTTTGCAAAGGTATAATCCTATTGCTGCTAACAGTTGGTATTTCAACAATCAGTTTTTAGTCTATTTTAATTTACTTTGACTTCAAACTATGATTTGCCTTTTAAATCCTCCTGAGAAAAATCACTACATAGACTGCCCATGTGCTAGGTTCAACTTGAAATTACCACATCTTAAACTAATATTTGTATTGGCTGGTTAGTTGATCCCTCCACCAGGCTTGTAAATGGTGGCTTACTCTTAAATGAGTTGACAACTGACAACAGAAGTTTCACATTAACTTCCTGTCTGTCACAAAATGTTACATTACTATTTCAGTACTGTAGCTAAAAAAAAAGGAAAAGAAAAAAATATTAGTTTCAGAGACATTTTACTTTGTAAAACTAAAATAAAACATATGAAGAAAGGAAGAATACAAGGATTTATAAGGTGTTATGTATTGCAATTGTTAATTTGTAATACTTAACTGTCAGCTTTTATAATACAGAGAGATCTCTGAAATACATTTTTGGTTTTACATGTCTTTATAGTTTTTATTTAAAGAAAAGCTTACAAGTTGAGATAGTTTGTTGGTAAAATGTTTCTTCTGTTCACAAAGGGCTAAACTCATGGAATCTGAGGGGATGTGTGTCCAGTTTCGAAGGCAGGTCCAACGATCTCCAACTCGTCACTCACTAAGTCCAACCTTGGCTGCAGTATCTGTTGTGGGTCATTATGATATTGGGGTTGACAGTGAAGCTCCATCTGTGCATGAACTTTTAGTGGAAGCTAAGCGGGATGTGCATAAGCTGAAGAAGAAAACGAAAATTTTAAAAGAGTGAGTCTGAGTCACTTAATATATGTTTTAGTTTAAGGAGTCGCACGTAAGTAGAATATCATTGAAAGTTTAGATTATTCAGCCGATATGTATGTACATAAACATATGTAATGATATTCAGGTGTAATGCTAATATCTTCCTTAAATACAGTTAGCAGAAATCTTATAACATATTTAATTTTACATATTTGGTTTTGAGATTTACTTATCTAATAAAGCTTTCATAGGATTTGTTGGACAGTCGTGTAAAAACTTCACTGATTATCATAGCTGTTTTTCTTTTAGGAACAAACTTTGAACAGTTAAAATGCTACAACTATCAATCTGTTAATTTCTAAATATCACAAAAGGTTTATGCATAACAATGTTTATTTAACATAAATCATTGGTGATGAAAATGTTTTTATTCAGCCCCCATTTTGTACTGTATATAATATTTTATTTAACTCTTTCAGCACAGGCTCATAACCATTTTGTGTTTGTTATTGTTTTCATGCTATAACTTTTAAATTAGTAAGCAAATGTTAACGAAATTTGGCAGAT